CTCTCAGATAGATTTACTGCATGAGGATCTGGCACCAGAGCATGAAGGAAAAATGGAAAATGGAGCCAACTGTTGGAGGGAATTTTAAGATGTGGAAGATTTGGTTCTTACAGTCCTATGTTCTGTCAGAAGCAAGTGTCCAGATGACTTCCTACCCTCCAAAGGCCTTCATTTAAATCAAGAAATGGAAAACAGCCAAAGGAACCTGAACATAGTTCCTCAATCAGTGCAAGGTATGCAGTCAAAAGGATGTAAGATAAGCTGATCTGGGAGCTCTTGGAGCTGCCAGGAGATTACAGAATACAGTGAGGAGAGGATCTCAAGACAAGAGCAGGGCACAAGTACCATCTTGTCATGCCTGTATCTAGCTCTAATTAAAAGATCACCAGTATGTCCCCTACTTTTATTCTATAAGAAAATGCGTTTCTACCATCCAGAAATTTGTTATTATGGATCATCTAAAAATAACAATTAAAGGAAATAGGAGGGTGAAACAGTTAAGGAAATTCAATGAAAAAAATATCAGATGATGTGACTTTTTTTAGAGTTATAAAAAGACATCCACAACCTGTCTTCATGCAACTGTCACACATTGCCCAAGGTACTACATGGTCTTAAATTTTAAAAACACAGTCTGACTCTGAAGTGAGAGAGAAAAGGAAAAACACTACATGGGAAAGTTGAGGAGAAAAGGTCACTCAGAATGGCCCAAGCTGGCCCAGTCATTGTCAGGATGACCATCATGATTATTAACATTTATTGAGTGATTGCTACATGATTATTTTTAACTCAACACCTGCCTAAAATGCACTGATCAGTTTAATCCTTAAAATTATTCTTTTCACTTTTTTTTAGGTTTAGATATTTACCAAAACACATAAGTGACTAATGACATGACTTCATTCATCAAATATTTATTGAGCTGTTACCTTGTTCTAGGCACTGCTGCTGCTGTGCTGGGAATACAGCTGTGAACAACATCCCTGGCGCTTTTGTTCTAGTGAGGAAAAACAGGTGTATTCATTTCTTATGGCTGCTGCAACAGACTACCGCAAACTGGGTGGCTTCTAACAACGGAAATGTTTTCTCTCATGGTTCTGAAGACTAGAAGCCCCAAATCAAGATGGCCCCGGTGCAGCACTCCTTCCGAAGGCCCTAGAGGAGAATTTGCTCCTGGCCTCTTTCAGCTTCTGCTAGCTGTCAGCGTTCCCTGACTCTGGGCCTGTCACCGTACTCTTTGTTCCCATGGGCACACTGGTTCTTCTTCTTCTGCCTGTGTTCTCTCCCTTTGCCTTTTTCTTACAAGCACATTTGTGATGGCATCTGGGGTCCACCCAGATAATCCCAAACAATTTCACCACAATATCCCTAATGCAATCACATCTGTTACCATCTAAGGTAATATTTACTTTATTGTGATATATGATGATATTCACAGGTCACTTTGATTAAGATAAACACAACTTTTGGGGCTACCATTTAGCCACTACAACAGGCAATAAAAACATAAACCAATTCAGGCCATTATGAGAGCAACAAAGAAAACAAAGCAGGGAGTAGGGATAAGAGAGTAATAGGGGATGCTATTTTTGCTGAGCGGGCTACAGAGGGCCTCCCTAATGTGGAGGCTTTGGAGCAGAGACCTCCTTGAAGTAGACGAAAAACATTGTTCTGGCAGAGGGAAGAGCAAGTGCAAAGGCCCTAGGATTGATCATTGTCATATTTGAAGAGGTGAGTGGCAAAGAGACTCGTGTCTTAGACGTGTAGTAGGAGATGGGTCAAAAAGGCAGAATTTGGATTTTATTCTGAGTAAAAAGGGAAGCCATTGGTAGAGCAGAGATGTAATTGACCTAACTTTTTTTTTTTTTTTTTTTTTTACTGTGGCCGATGTGTGGAGAATAGACTATAGAGAGCAGAGAAGTACTATGACCACTCAGGGAGGTACTGCAATATTCCAGGCAGGAGACAATAGTGCCTAGGACTCGAATAGTGGCTATGGAAGTAGGGAGAAGTGATCTGATTTGAGACATGTTTTGAAAGTTGAGCCAACAGGATTTGCTGATTGAGTGAATTTAGGTGACACTATTAGGGGAGTCAAGGATGTCACTAATGTTTTTTGCCTATGTGACTGGAAGGATAAGAGCCATGGCCAACTGAAATTTGAAGGATGGCAGAGAAGCAGTCTTGGGAATCCGTAATTCCATTTTGGAATTTGAAATGACTTTCGGCATCCAAGTAGAGATATTCTGTAGTCAGTTGAACACAGGAGTCTGGAGCTCAGGGTGAAAGACATATATTGGGCATTATTAGTGAACAGCCAGTATTGTAAATCACCAACTAGTAGGTGTAGTTAGAGAAAAGGACTAAAACTGAGCCCTGAAGCACTACACAATTAAGAAATCAAGAGATGTGGAAGAACCAGGACAAAAGTCTGTAAAGTAAGCCAGTGAGGAAGTAAAACCATGAAAGACTGCTGACTTGGAAAACAAATAAGAAAGTGACTCAAAGAGGGAATGGTCAACTGCATCAAACGCTGCTAATAGATCAAGTAATATGAGGATTGTGAATCTACCATGGAATTTGTCAGTGAGACAGTCATCAGGAGTCTTGACAAGATAAGTTTTGATGGAGTTTGGGCACAAATCTATTTGAAGTGGGTTCAAAAGGGAATCAGACAAAAGGAATTATAAGCAACTAATTTGGAAAATTATTCCAGTGAGCTTTGCTGTTAAGAGGAGCAAAAAAACAGAGCAGTAGCCAGAGGAATTTTTTTTTGAATTGGAGATACTATAACATAATATCATGCTGACGCAATGATATTATGAGAGGCAAAAATTGATAATGCAAGCAAGAGAATGAATGTTAAGAGAGAATTCCACAAGTGAGTGAGAAGGGACAGAGTCCAGAGCCTTAGTGGCCAACCAGTCTTGCACAAGAGCAGGGCAGCCCTCCTTATAACAGAAGCAAACTCAGAGTACCTGTGTACAGATGCAGGGTAGGTAGATCTGCTAGTGAGATGAGGAACATGCTCTTCTTATGGCTTCCACTGTCCCTGTGCAATCAGAAGCAAGCTCATCAGCTAAGAATGAGGAGAGTAAACAATGGTAAAGTTTGAAAAGGTATGGAAGGGCCTTCAGAGAGTAAATTGTTAAGGCCAGCAGTGAATTATCTAGTGAATTTTCCAGAACAGTGCTTTCTCATAGAAATATAATGCAAACCATCCATGGAATATTAAGTTTTCTAGTACCCATATTGAAAACATGAAAAGAAATAGGTACAATGAATTTCAATGGTATATTTTCAATGGTAAATATTATTTCAACATGTAATCAGTATAAAAAGTACCAAAATATTTTAGATTCATTTTTTTAGTAATGAGTTTTTAAAAGCCAGTGTGCATTTTACATTTTCAGCACATCTCAGTTCAGATGAGCCACATTTTAAGTGTTCAGTAGCCACGTGTGGCCAGTGCTACCATACTGAACATTGCAGGTCTAGGAAATGAAGTAATACTAATGGAGAATGCCAAGGGTCCCTGGAGATTGGGAGCCATGAGCTGAAGTGAGGTTGGTATGGCTGAGTGTTTTTCTCCAGCCATATTCAGAGCTCCTGTCCAGACGTGGAGTAGGCAGAGAGTTGAACTTGACCAGGGATTGAGTTCTGCAAGCAACATTCAACCAAAGGGAAAAAAGGGAAGGGAACTTATGGCATGTGGAACCAATTGATTATATAGACTAACCATAGAACATAAGATACCAAAGTTAGCATGGGGTAGGGGAGGGGTGTAAAAAGGTGGTGGGGCAACCAAAGTTCTAGTAGCATCATGGAACTTTAAGAACTGTAGATGCTATGCAACATACAAAGATATCTAGGTAATCCCTGCCCTCAGCAAGCTAATCTTGACAACAGATTTACCAACAGTTATGCTATTAAGATGGCATGTGATAAACACCAGAAAAGTAGCACAAAATGTGTTCTATGGGAGTTTAGAAGAGGAAGAGTTCACCTCTGGCTAGGATGGCCCATGAGGGTTCATGGAGGGGGTAGTGGGTAAGTCAGATCTTAAAGGATGAATAGGATTTTTGTCAGCACATAGGAAACATGGTACAAAGTGAGGAAAAAGCACAAACACAGATAAAAAATAAAAAATGTTCACTATTTCTTTGGGTAACGTTTAAAAAAAAAAAAAACCTTAATATTCATTGAGGGAATCATTAATTACAATGGGGTAATAACAATGGGTCTTGAAAGAAAAGTACAGAGCTAATTTCCCTGGGGGAAGAAAGACCTCATCATAAAAGAAAGGCATCCCCCCAGAATACAATGTTTCTTAGGTGTGGGAAAACTGAGTGGCAAAGATTATTCTCAAGAAATAAATGCCTACCGCTCCTCAGCCTTTTGGCTAAGATCAAGTGAAGAAATAAATGCCCTTTATTTCTGGCCCACCTCACCCCTACACATACTCATGCACCTGTAAACACATGAGCACACACACACACGCATGCACACAGACACACAAAGCGTCCATCTTTCCTTTAGAATTCAGTATCATATACTTAGCTCCCTTCTCTGGAAACGGTCAGTTACTTCCAAAGAGAAGCAATGTTTACCTTTCATTCTCAGATTCTGGAAGAAAACATTTAGAACCAACTAGGATCAGAGTGGGTGAGATTAAAAAGGCTTTGATTACTGTTAACACCTTAGAAATAGTACTGTACTCCCACCACACAGACCCAGTTGATGATTCTTTTAGAAAACAAGCTGCACATATACACTATAATCTTTTTTTCTAAGTCTGTTGCTGTTTCTATTAAAATTTTAAGGGAAAAATAGCATTTTACTTTGGCTCTCAACACAGTCATCATTGAACAACAAGAAATTTAGTTTTTCCTAAGTATGTGTGGACTGTTGTTGAAAAAAAATATCATCTTCTCTCTTCCCAGCTCTAAATGGTTTGGGAAACTTGCCAGTAAATCCACTCCCTCCCTTTTTTCAAAGAATTTCCTACTTCAATCAGAATATTTAGAAACAGTAAGAGCTAGACTTTTCCATGTGAGATTTTAATAATACTGTGCTTTGTATTTACATATCATACATGATTGGTACATCATAGCTCACTATCACTTTAAGTTTTTAAATTAGTATATAAAAGCACAAGGTTTCGAAGCAACTCTTCTTGTGGTCAACAGTAAGTTATTAATGTCAGGATTGAAACTCATGATTACTGAAACATGTAGTCCTACAAAGGTCATTCTTGTAACATAAAAGGAAGTGTCCAGTAAGTATTAATAGAACATTGCAATTATCAAATATCTCATTTATTCAAGGTCATTTTAAGAGCCAAGGAACTTTAATTATATAAATAACCACATTAAACCCTTTAGACCTACATTAATATGAATACAAATTAAGGTATCATTCAATAAAAACTAATACTTAATATGAATAAATATAGACATACATAATCAAATCAGTTTCACAAAGTAGAATGTATTTCAATCAGAAAGTCAGCAAATAGGTCAATATACTTAAAAATGTGAACTACTGCTTTAAAAAAATTTCACTAACATGCTGTAATCCTGAAGGCTACAGATGCCACTGCTCAGACTGTTTCACATGCCATCAAGTCTTTCCCCTTTGGATATAAAAACATCCATTGTCTGCTGACCCAATTAGGAAGGAAAGTATCTGGTTCTCTTAACAGTGCTGGCTGTGGTTTTACTCCCAATACCTTTGACACTCATATGTCTGGGAGATTCTGTAAGATCTGTCTCAAGGAAGCACAGGCTACCACGTGGGCATCTGAAGGAAGATTAGCAAGTGACTGAATCAGCTTCTTGACTATTGTCTTCAAACACTGGTGGGCAGCATTCAAGTCTCTGTCAAACTGCTGTCCTTCAATCTGTAGAGCCAAATGACTGCAGATGTTTCTAAACTCAACACTATCCTGAAATGAACAACAAACACAAACAAGAAATTAGATAGGTTATGGGGGGCATTTGTTGTACTTTGCTTATCCAACTTCCATTCCTTTCTCTTCTGGTGACAGCACTCTGTGTTTTGGTTTTCTTTATTTTTTTCTTGGAAAACTACCCCCCATTCTTAGCCTATGTAGTTGGACCAAAGCTGATCACAACTCCAGGGACCAGGCCAATCAGAGCATGGACTGATCAGAATGGACAGATGATCTAAGCCAAGGCCAATAAGCCACAGGCCAAGGATATCTGCTAGACAAGACCTAAAGAGGATCTGCTATCCTCTTTAACTGAGGCTGTTGGAAAATATCTTGCCACCATAAAGATAGCATCCAAATGAGAATGCGGCCAACACAGAAGAAAGGAGAACCAAGAGATTAAAAGAGACATATTCTAATCTAATACTTTCTGAGTATGTGGCTCCAGCTATACTTGAACAATAAACCCCAAGATTTTTTGGCCATCTGGGTCAATAAATATCACTTTTTTACTTAACCCAGTTGGACTTGAGTTTCTGTTACTTGTTCCTAGAAGAACTGTGACAAATACACAAATAGCCTGTGTTTCTATTATCCCACACTCCCTGTGTTCAGTATTCCAGTACAGAGTTTGTTATTTAATGGACATGGTCTCAAGAAATCCCCAAATGCAAATTTAGAAAGAACAGTTCCCAGGTAATTTAAAAGAAGGAGGTAATTCAATATTTTTAATCCCTAAATGGTTTATTTTCTAAAATCCATTGCACATAAATGGTACATTGGGATGATTCCACATCAGAGATAATGTTGAATATACGATCTCTTTTCAGTATACGGAAATGACGTCCCCAGGACTTCTGGTTCTGGCAACAAAACAAGAACTTAGTTTTCCCAAGGAATTCTCTTTGCTACTGAATTCCTAAAATTCTAAATAAAAATAGGGCAAACATCCTTTCTGAGCTTCCAAGAAAATAAGAGAAATCTCTCAGAAGCCAAAAATTTTAAAAAGATTATTTTAGCTGCCTACCAGTACTATGAAGAAATGAAAGTTTGTCTCTCTTGAGCTGGGTTTGGGAAGGAGAGTAAAGTTGTCCCTCGGAATGTCTAATAGCGGACCTGTATTACACCGTCGTTTGACTTTGGAATTGCCCTCTGTACCAGATGAGCATCCTGGGAACACTCGTGCTAAGAAATTAACTTAAAATTTTGAACTGGGCTGAAACAGTCATGAACACATGGCAAAAACAAACAAAAACATATTTCAGGGAAACATGTCTGCAACCATTGCCCTACAATAGTATATGCATAATGCCTATGTTGACGATGAAGTCAAAGTATGAAATTTAAAACACAATCTACCATGATATAGCAGATGCAATATGGGACAGGATTACACTCGAAGAATTTAAAATAGAGACTATAAAATATGTTTTAAATCAGCAGTCTCCAACCTTTTGGCATCAGGGACCAGTTTTGTGGAAGACAATTTTTTTCCATGGCTGGTGGTGGCAAATGGTGTCAGGATGAAACTGTTCCACCTCTGATCATCAGGCATTAGATACTCTTTTTTTTTTTTTTTTTTCTTTGAAGAGATGAGTTTTTTTTTTAGTCAAATAATAAGTCATCCTTGAGTCTGCATGCTTTGTCAAATAAAAATTATTTTATGATTGGCAAAGTTTTCTTGTTACCAATTATAAAATATACCCAGTATGCCCCTTAAAAAATAACAATCTTTTTCTTGAAGGGCAAATCACAACATGCTGATTATTTCATAATAAATTGAAGGTGAACAAAGGAGAAAATGCAGTACATTTATACTTTGAGAAGAAACTAATTCTAATACTCATGTGTCACCTTAATACTCATGTGTCGCCTTATTCTGGCTGGCATACAGTAGATGGCCCACAAGTGTCCAGTGATTGAATGAATGATTGGATGAATAAATATTATTCTTGAAAAAAATTTCAGTAATTACTTCCTGATCATACTGGATACTGTCAGATATAGTTTCAGAAAATATTCTGTAATTTAATTAATAAAACTGGGAATTAGAAGAAACAAAATTTGCTGCTAAAATACTGCCAAATATCTAGTTGTGTGATGTGAATTTGGTAGCTTCGATAAGGCCTTCTTATTTACTCTAAAAATTTCTAGTATCGTACTTGTTCTATTAGCCACCTATTATCTGACGATGAGTGGCTGGAAGTTCTCTGTTAAATCTTCATTCCCTTAGCCCTAGTTTTACAATGATATTTAAGTGCAATCATTCTTGCAGATATTCACAGGAACACCTAGTGCTTTTCTTAACAACAAATTTAATTAAGATCATTATTATTTTTTATTATACTTTTAAGTTCTAGGGTACATGTGTACAACGTACAGGTTTGTTCCATATGTATACATGCGCCATGTTGGTGTGCTGCACCCATTAACTCGTCATTTACATTAGATATATCTCCTAATGCTATCCCTCCCCCCTCCCCGCTTCCCGCAACAGGCCCGGGTATGTGATGTTCCCCACCCTGTATCCAAGTGTTCTCATTGTTCAGTTCCCACCTATGAGAAGGAGCACACAACCTAGATCCTTCACATGCTGAATTCACAATAGGAGTTGTGCTCCTATGAGCATCTAATACTGCTGCAGACCCAACAGGAGGAGGAGCCCAGGTGGTAGTGCTTGCTGACCTACTGCTCATCTCCTACTGTGTGGTGTGGTTCCTAACAGGCCACAGACCGGTACCTGTTCATGGCCCAGGGGTTAGGTACCCGTGCCTTAAATGAGTAAACATATTAAAGAAGAAATCAGAAAAGTGTTTTAAGAAAAAATAGGCTTGTAAAAGAAGCACATCCACTTCTAAAAGAATGAAAATTATAGTGGAAATGTAAAACTTAGTTGACGGCTTAAACACCTGATTAAACCTATCTAAAGTGAGGATGAGGAAACTAGATAATAAATATGAAAAAAAATACCTTCGAATGCAAGATTACAAGTTGAAGACGTGGGAAATATGAATGAGAGGTTGAGCAACATGAATGACAGAATGAGAAAGTCCAACAAACACTTCTAGGAGAACAACAGAGAGAATGGGAAAGAGTCAATATTAAAGAGAACAATGGATTAGAATTATACACAGTAGATCCAAAACAGAAATCTTTATATTAAGGAAGTAAAATATGCCATAGGGAGAACAAGTTAAGTGAAATCCAAATCTAAACTCATCGAGGCAAAATTACTTTTAAAGGCAATGGGAAGGTAAAATACAGATGGACTTCAAGGTATGACAAGACAGCAGCTGACTTCTCACCATAACAATACAGAAGACGATGGAATAATAGCCTCAAATAACTGTCAAACTAGAATTTTGTTTATTCCTACTAAATGATCATTTAAAACTCAGGGAAAAATAAATATGCTCTCATTTAAGAGGACAGAATTACCACTAATAGACTCTCAGATATTTCTGAAGACATAATTCTGAAAGAGGAAATTCAACTGAAAATGGTTGAGATTCAGGATGCAACAGTGAACAAAGAAACTCAGAAACGTGGTATAAATCTAAAGTATGTATTGTTTAAAACAAAAATTATAACAACTAACGTGGAGTTTAGGACATCTAAATGTGGTAAATGAATGACGGTTCATTTTAGAACCATCTGAGCAAGACGTTTCTCAAATGCTGAACAGCAGTGACATGTCGAATGGAGTGGCACTCTAAGCACTGTATTATTCAAGAGAAAGGTGGCAAGCTCATACATTTTAGACTTGTTAGGTACATGTGTGAAAAATGTAAGAGTTATTATTAAAAGTAGAGAAATAATACATAAAACTTCAAAATCAGCAGAGGGAAAAGATGAATTAAAATTTTATTGGCTGGGCACAATGGCTCATGCCTGTAATCCCAACACTTTGGGAGGCTAAGGCAAGCAGATTGCTTGAGTCCAGGAGTTCGAGACCAGCCTGGGCTACATGGCAAAACCCTGTCTCTAAAAAAAAAAAAAAAAAAATGCAAAAATTATCTGGGCAAGAGGGCATGCACCTGTGGTCCCACCTACTCAGGAGGCTGAGGTGGGAGGATCACATTGAGCCCAGGAGGTCAAGGCTGCAGTGAGCAATAATCATGCAATTGCTTTCCAGCCTGGGCAACAGAGTGAGACCCTGTCTCAAAGGAAAAGAAAAAACAGATTATTGACCCTATGTATATAGAACGTAAACTGGAGAAATAAAGATTCAAACATAAGGCAAGGTAAACAGAAAACACTAAATAAGATAGGAGTAGTAAGCCTACACATATCAGAAAGCACAACAAATGCAAAGCAATAAACTCACCTTTTGGAAGATAGTGATTACTATGTTGGTTTCATATGCTGTTTACAAGAAACACATTTAAAACTAAAACCACATAAAGATTGAAAGTGAATGGATATTTAAAAATATGCCAAGCAAAGAGAAGCCAAAATAAAACCATAAAAAATCATTATTTGGGATAAAATAAACTATGAGTAATAAAATGAATGATTCCCCAAGAAGATGTCACAATTTGTACTTATATGTCCCTAATATGATAATCATAACATACATTGAGTCTACACACAGACAAGCTGATTTTAACCTAGCTTCCTCTGAAACTAGGTTGATCAAACAACAAAACAGAGAAAGACTGAAAAACACTAACCACAAGCTTGAACCAATGGGAATAAGAAAATATACATTATTGTCAAACATATATGGACTATTTATAAAGCTGACTATATTATAATGTCACAAAGCAAATCTCAACAAATATCAGAAAGTCTCTATCATGCAAATCACAATGCAAATAAATGAGAAATCAATAACATAGATACCCTTCCCAAAACATGTGTGACTTAGAAAATCCACTGCTAAAAAATTCATGGATCAGTGAAAAAAATAATTGAAATTTTCAAATACTTTATACTGAACTATATCACAAATTTGTGGGATGTAGCCACAGTGAGAAACGCTTTGACTTAAA